TTTCTTTTCCATTCCTTCAGTCCCAGGATGAACGGAATTATGGTTTGGGCATGGATGCCCTGGTATAATCGTACTCACTCCAAGATGAACGGAATTATGGTTTGGGCATGGATGCTCTGGTGATCGCACTCACTGTTCGAACAAGGAAACCCGCTAAAAGTCCGAAAAGTGCACGAAAGCACACGGGCGGCTGTGCACCGCTGTCCAACTACATAGGGATATACAGGAATGTAAAGGAGAATGGGAACTACTGATTACTACTAATTCGGGGTTAGTTATATAGGGATGTTCGACCCTGATAGGTACGTTCCTATCATATTCCTACTCTATTCGCGGGGTCCCAATTCGGGGTCCCCCTTCCAGCCCTTTTATATTCAGGTGACCACTGGCACTTCCTCTGAGAACGCCTTGTATGCATGAAATATCAACAGGAGGCACCATTTCTATACTGGTGGGCCCTCTTGGGGGTAAGGATAGGACCTAATAATTGCAAAAAACATCCACTCTTGCACATCAGACCGGTTCTTCAAGCTCCTTTGTCTCGTATCAGGTCTCTAGTTCGGTGCCTTGTTGATGGTTTAGCTGCATGCCCGAACAGCTTCCTGGGGTCTCTGCAAAGTAGGGGAAGTCACACTTGAGGATTTGAAAACCTTCTTTGCTGTCCATGCTTGCCTCCTATGAATTCCCTTGCGACTTCCATGACAAGGACTGTAGACATTCGGCTGGATACAGAAGACACAGCCTCCGCTGTGCTAACACGGAAGAGGAATTGACTTCCTGCTTTCGTGGGCTGTTTCCGGGTCGCAGGGCTGGAGTCAGCTCAGCAAACATGACTCAACCCCAAAACCTCATGCCCTAGACAACATTCACTGAGTTTTGAACTCTTTTGCACGTTGCAACCTTAACCTCAGCAGCAACTGGGTATTTCTCCTGATTAGTACGGCCCCTCCCTATCATTTGCGAACAAATTTGAGAAACTCTGCGACATCCCATCATCATCCCATACATTCCCCAGTAACGTCATATAATCCCTACAAAAGGTCTGCTTCATACTAGTAAATCCCAGGAAATGGAGCTTCTCCTGCAACTGGGCCACAGCCGACGTCCAGCCATGATTGGGGAAGACCTCAAACATCTGCCCCACTCTGCCCAAAACATGCGGCTTGCGAGAGGAGTAGCCATAGGATTTTCAGGAATGTATAGCGCTGATAAGAGGATCACAGGAATACCCCTTGAGGCCATGAAAAGGCATCTGCTCTGCCAGTTTGCAAGAGGAGGGAACCGCAATGGTCCATCATAATGACGGCAATGCCCGATGTGAAGACCACCCCCATGTGGAAAGCACTAGATCAACCATCACCAATCAGTTGAAAGGCGTATGACAATCTAGTACAACAATTGTAAGGGGATTTTATGCCTGCTGACTATTCAGTTCCTATATTGGCACAGCTCATGTCAATCGCAAGCCAAATGCAGCATCGAGGCCACATCCTGAAGATTGCGCATCTTGCTGATGGCCTGCCTTTGCACGCATGATCGGGAAGCATTAGCTGTAGAGAGGATTTCGTAAGTTGGAAATTCCAGAATGGCCCTTCAGTTCAGCTTCTTGGCAACGGAACTTTGAGGATCTGAGCCGAGGAGATGCGTAGGAAGAAGACGCGATGGGCTCGGATGCTTTAGGACAAAGACATTGCTGAGCACTGCTCTCCAAAGCAGAGCGCAATTTCTTCTCTGCTTGTGCAGCCGCCGACCGCTCACTTGTGAGGTTGGCCCGCATGTGCTGCAGGATATGTCGCCGTTAGTTCTCTCCCTGTTTTCCTTCTGTTTTTTGTTTACCTCGGTTCTTCGTCTTCTTGCACTTTGCTGCTGCATCATGAACTCCGTTTGGCCAAGCACCCGGCTGGAACTGCGGATGCTGTAGCGCTGAGACGGGCGCCTTAGTGCTGTGATATACTCTCACCGTATCAATCTCTCTGATACAAAATATCCAAGGCATTCTGAGAAACGAAGCTTCGAAAGCACACGAAACCCTGGTTTACGGTTTTTGGTCATGAGTCCGAGCGATACGTGACCTGTCCGTATTGCCTTACGTGAAGATCCTCATCTTGATGCTGCCTTCCTTTTCCTGCAGATGCTCGATGCTCAACATGCACTGCGGCGTCATTCTCGTAAGATCCACACAGCGCCCAAGTCCATGTGATAGATGGCGTCTTTGTGAGTGGCCTCACTGCACAGCCCTGCATATGAGATCTCAGCAAGCCATGCGAGTGGCGACAGGTTGTTTTTTGAAGCGCACATGTGGTCGGAATGTCAGAATTACCTAGGAGCTTCCTTGTTGACACTCGTGTCAGGCTCAACCACTGTTTCACGCAATGCACCTACAAGAGAAAAGCATATGGCAGGACCCCCTCATTTAGTGACAACGTATCAGCTCAGCGGCCACGTAGCTTGCCAGCCGCAGTGCTACCTTGTCCTGTGGCTGTCTCTTGTCATGTGATGTCACACGTGCAAAGCAGATTGTTGCCCATTGTCCGTGGTCTCGCTCGCTTCTTTTGCTGCCATCCTCATGACTGCAACTGTTGTGGATGAGGGAGACACTAGGCCCTCAGCTTGCATTGAGTAAGCGTTTCCTCCAGGCCATGTTGGAAAGCCTCCCTACGGGCGCTGCACATGATCGTTCGTGGCCAGGCTCGGTATACGAAGAGCAAAAAAAGCCCAGGTGGGAGTTTCTGGCAGAGGGGGGTTCGTAATGACCCCAGGATGCGCAGGGGTTACCAAAGGCTAGGGGCACGTTTAAAGGTTTTCACTCCCACCCAACTCCTGTCAGTTGTCGCCTTGGTGCCTTTGTGTCACCGCGCCCCTGGAGTTGAGAGCTATCGCCAGGCTCCTCCCTCAGCGTCCGGTCACGGGAGTCTCTCCCCTTTAACGCCAAGTGCAAACATATGCCGCCACTACCGCGTGCGTGACTCCAGGAAGCCTGCATGAGAGCTTGGGGGGTCTTCCCTGCTCGGCTTAGGCGCTGCTTTTCTGACATGCTTGCCGTGGTTTTTGGACATGGTACGTGCTGAACATCAGTCGTAAGATGGTTGATCCAGCGCGTGGATCATCATGGAATGGAAACTTTAAATCTTAACGCTGAAAACCAACAGACTGTCCAGACCCGCTAAGTGAACAAACTACTCAGAAGAACCGGCAGCGAAATTGCTCTTTGCGTTAGATGACTGCGAACGGCTGAGATCAATCTTAGGAAGTACTGAGGAAACCTTGCCACAGCCTGGCCCAAACTGAGTCCGTCCTCCTCTGGGATGGCTGGACCTTAGTTCGAAAGGCAGTGTCGGCTAGTTGGCACACACCCGACGAACTCTGCGCGCCAGTTTCGGCTCTGTACAAGCACTTCGAGACATAGGCAGCATGCATGCGCAGCAGCTCAAAGAGAGAGCTTTTGCCGAGCTGGGCATCGGTTTGAAACGCAACGATGCGAGTAGCGGGTAGAAAAAAAGAAGCAATGCAGGCATGTGCTATGCTCGCTGGTTTGCGGCACACCTGCCTGGCGTTGGTTTGCAATCTGAATTCCGAAGGCTTTGGACTTCTGCCATCGCAAGCTAAACCGGCTGCAAGACGTGCACCTGGGTACCTTCTCCTGCGACAACTTACAGCATGTCCTCTAATGGTCCGCTCTCACGAATAATATCCGCTTCCTTCTTGCAGCCTTGAGCTAACATGCCAGTGCGCCTATGCAAACCGCACACCAGCATGATCGAAAAATGAATTTACCAACCACACGTGCAAACACTCACGCAGGCAAGTGGAAGCCCACATGATGTTGTTCATCCCGTATGGAACTAAACTGGCAACTTTGCGCTGCTTACGTGACGCACCGATGCGAATCACATGGGCGCTGAATTAGCCTTGTTGATGCAAGGCTGGCCACTATGACCAATCAGAATTTTTTCCACGGTGGCCTCCAGCTTGCTCTGAAGTGACTTCGAAAGCCACCAACGAAGATCAACCATGTCCTTGACCGTGGCGGTGTTGCTGCCCCGAAGCAGGAGCACTTGTTTCACGAAGTCACTGAATGAGATCCGTATCTCCTGCGCCTCTGCATCATCTCCCCCCCTGGGCATGCCTTGTTCCTCAAAGATGAGGTCTGCAAAGTCGACGAGGCTCACCATGTCAACGCCGATGGCCTTCATGGCATCAGCTGCTTGCTGATCACGAAGAATCTCGAAGAACCTCAGTTATGGCAATTATGAAGACTAATCTGCCAATTGACCTCAACATAGCCACCTGCTGCAATTCCGGCATGTCCATCTCATCAAACAGCTTGATATGAAACTTCTTCTGAGTAGCTTGTGCTGAGTGATGTAGCCGTTGGAGCTTCCGACAACCCGCTCGAGCGTATGTCTTAGCCAGTTGACTTGAATCGTCTCCCTCTCAGCGTGGGCTACGGCAGAGATCACTTCGCACATGACCTTGGCAGGTGCAGCACGCAGCAGATTGCTTCAGCCATTTTCCTGGGAGGAGAAACGTGAATGCCTGTTCGGCGGCCTGCAGCCTTTCTGGATGTCACCATTGCATGTGGCTCTGGGGATCTTGATTAGTAAGTCCGCAAAATCAAGACAAGCAGCCCCAATCAGCATGTTCATGACCTCAGCCAGAAATCCTCAAGTTGCATCCAGGTCGTAATGAGAATACCGCAAACTTGCGAGTCCCTTGTAGGGACCTTAATAAGGATTCTAGCAATAATACTTTCGATATTCAGAAGCCATTTGCAGACATGCACACACGTGGTCAGCTCGAATGGTTGCAAGCTCAGCAGAGCACAGTAATGGATGACATGATGACGAAGACATACATCAAGGCCAGCGTGGTGTAGAGCCCCTCGTCCAACAAGTCATGCATCAGGCTGCCGATGTCATCGAGCAGTGCTCCGGAGATGAAAAGGCTCTGCATCGACGCCGGAACATTCATGAAATATTGTGCTCCACATTGCGTCCCCCGTGTAAGTTGGGTGAATGCTATGGCGAAGACATACAGCAGCCTTGGTTCTGGCTCTCCAAGACGGATCATTCTTCTACCGGCCACGTCAGCAGAAGGGTGTTCAGGGTAGGGTCCTTTATCAATCCCTACTACTGAATCCAAACTCATCCCTACCACAGGATGGAAATCCCTTCCACTGGGGGCCCCTCTTCTTGCGGCCATCTCAGAAGAGCAGCAGGAAAAGCAAGGCCAGCGTGAAAACTACAGAGCGTAGAGCTGCAACGATGGCTTTCCTCACAAGTTAACACGAGAGTTGCGCCAATAACAAAGTAAGCAAACATCTGAAAGTGCGCGCCATTGCGCGCCTATGGTCAGCAGCTACAGCAACCTACTCAGTCCAACGTCGAAGCGCCATCAGAAAAAGGCCAAGGTTCACCAAGATCAAGACCTCTGGTATCAGGTGCAAGAGCTGTGACATGCGAAGAAGCCGCGACAGCCGCAGCAGCCGCGCAACGCGTATGACGCTGCTGTTCCCCAGGATAGAGCCTGCCTGGTCAGACTGCGGAACAGTTGAGCTGAGGTTCGACTCTTGCCAGGTTAGAGCAATCCTCAAACTTTTGCAGCTCCAGCGGCGTGGGTGCTCTGCAGCATCAGGTCTATCAGGGGCAGAATCCACACCTGGCCAAGCTTGTCCCTTACAGGCTTTATACAAAGAGCTCGATGAACTTCTGGCTCCATGCATTCTAGTCAAGGTTTCTCGCACACACGCCTGGATCACCATGGACATGACCAGGAACACGTCAAAAAGGAACCAAAACTCCCTGCTGTACTTGCACTTGTTGCTGAAAGCAATGAAGCGGATGACGAGCTCAACAACGAAGAAGAAGCAGAACAGCTGCTCGACCCAAAAGAACACCGAGCCTTAGGCTCTCTTTATGTACACAACTTCTACAACGATGATACAAAAGTCACTGCATCGAATTTGAGTGTCCATCTCTTGTGGTTGGGGCTGCGAAATTCATTACTTCTTAGGAGCTTGTGTCTGTGTTCACGACGTTGGGGTTGCAGTCGCTGTCCACCGCTAGCCAGATCGCGTAGAAGACGATCATTAGGCTGCTCAGGTGCTCGAAGACCTCTGACCTGAACGGTCTGATGCGTTGCCAGTTCTCGTTTAGCTCAGCATTGCGACCATCATTGTGATTTCAAATCGACGCAAGCAATGTATTACGAGTATCCGAAGGCGGGCACCACCAAGGACTGTGCGCACGCTTTGCTTAGAGGCACGTCTTCTTAACCATTCGCCCCGATCGGACAGCCGCAGTGCTTCCAGAAAGGTATAAAATGTCATTTAAAAAACCTAGGTTCAAGGGCCTGGGATCAGAGGCGAGGCTACCGTTGGCCAACGAGGAGGAATTGTTGGTGTTATGTTGCTGCTTGCTTGTCGTCTTGTAGGTCTCCTCGCTACCCGGACTGCAACAAGCTGACTGGTGCCGCCCACCTCGCGATGCATGCAAAAACCCCATCACGCTTGTACCTCTCCTCCACGGCTTCCTGGTCGCCCTGTGCGAAGCAGAGGTCTGGCAAGGCTACGCGCTGCCACTTTTAGTTCTGCGTGTGCACAGACTTTTTGGTGGCACATAGCTATTTCGCACCACCACATCATTCACCTAGACACGCAGTCCAACCCTTGTGTTTGCGGGAACTTGCTCTCTGACAGACAAAGGGCTACCTGTCCTACTGTTTTTACTGTGTTTTTTCTAGATTCATCTTGCCAGTCATGTCAGCGGACCCTCAGCAGCAGTCTTGCCAAGCCTTATCCTACTATCGTCTTCGGGTTCTACGATTGCATGCCCTGACTGGTCTCGGCCCATGGGTACTCAGGCTCCTGCTAGTGACACAGACTATCATAACACTTAGCAGCTAGTAAACAAGGACATAAGCATCAACGCCTAACTCAGGTCTTCAAATCAGTCAACCGCCACTGGCCTGATTCTCTAGCTCTTCGCGGATGATGTTTTTCAAGTCCTGAAACGAAATCACGACGCGACATGCCCCCCCCTTGATGGGTACTGAGGCTGGCAGAGGCTTGGCAAGCAAGCGCTCGGATTCTAGAGTCTACATCTGTGTCTGCCCCCTGGACGTGAAACAGGTTGGAAAGGGCGTTGCACGTTGGCAGATGGCTGCGATGCAAGGTGCAAGCGAGCAGTCTTTCTCCTCCAACACGAATTGTCGTGCAGTCTCCCTCAAAGTGTGAGAGTGCATCAAAAGAATCTCCAACCTGATCTTACTCTTGTTGGCATGCTAATGCTAGCCTGGTTCCTCTCCCACTTTCTTCTAGCAGAGACTCCATTTTAAGCCTACGCTTCCTTTGGCATCCTCGACCCGGCTCCTGTTCGTCCTGACGCTTAAGCCTGCCTACTCCTTGTAAACTCCTCTGCAACATCCCCTGTTGGCCCCGCCAAGCCTTTCATCATTATCTATGCCTTGCTGTCAAGCAGCTGCCACAGTCGGTAACAGGCACATCTGTGTCCTGGGGCGAGCTTGCTTTCAATTTGCAGGCCAGCGTTCGGGGGCTCGAGATGTAATCATCATATCTTTTTGGTTTCATCCAGGCCAAAGTCCCAGGGCTTTTTCCCCCAGGCTGACAGCCCTGAACCCAGCACGCTTAGCCTTGAGCTTCAGACTATTCCTTGGAGTGCCTATGCGAACAGCACACAACACGAGCATGCACAGTGACTCTCATCAGGGTTACGCAGGGCATGACTCGGTATGACCCTGTTCGCTCTTTCTACCATGGTGCAGACATTCATTTCCGGCAAAGTGCATGCAGCTGGGATGGAACTTTAGCAACCTACCGCCAACATCAAACCAGCCCACAGGCATGTCAATACTCCTGTGTGTGTCAACTTGCATGGGTTCCTGTATGATAACAGTCGACAAATGATCCAATAAGAATAACTTGTACTCACCAACCCGCTTGCCTTAACCTTTGCCACTGAGCAGCGTTGATGCCCTGCTCTGTTTCATGGCCTGGGTGAACCGCCACTTGCTGGTCTCGCACGGCTCGCACGGGCTGCTTGGGCTTGGGCCAGTCCTTCAGCGCAGGGTACGTTGGTCTCAAGAACCCCATGTACAAACCCAAAGAAACAGACTTCTTGAATGCGGTGCCGAAGACGCTCCACTTCTTGACTTGAAACTGATACGGTAGCTCTGAGAATGCACGCGAGGATCCCAACGTCGCCCTCCGAAGGAGGAAGCATGGTCGATGCCGTGGAAATGCCGGTCTGCTTTGCAGCTCCTGGCAAGGACTGTTCCTTTTACACTGGGCTTGTGCCCAGTAGTTCAACAAGGCCGGATGCACACAAAACACTCATGGTCGCAACAAGCCGGTCATTGCATGCCATGCTGCCCGGGTTTACATGGGGGATGTTGCGATGCAGTTTGGAAACCAAATGATGGTGGACTTCGGCTCTATTGCGCAAAGTGCCACAGAACAACAGCTCGACAGCTCCCTGCCCTTTCCTAATAGACCATGGCAGCCCCATTGATTCGAAAAACAGGTGCTCGACGGTAATGAAGCAGCATAGCTAGGCGTAGGGCTGGTTCAAAGGCTTTTGCATGGGGTGTCTCTCCTTCCACCACTCTGACAACCTGACCTGTCGGCCGTGCTGGCCAAGCCGCATCTGTCCTTTCCGGGCAAGATGCAATCCAATAAGAATGCGCATCCTGCGCATGGTGTACCATGCATGCGCTCCTATGGCGCTCATCACTGCAACCATATGATTACTATTCTTACTACTACTACTACTACTACTACGACGACGACGACGACGACGACGACGACGACTACTACTACTACTCCTCTCATTTAACTTATGACTATTTGTTATTACCCTTACTACGTAAACACGCCTCAGTATGGAAGAAAGATCCGTGAAGGAGACCGAGCTCTGCCAGCGCAACTCATCTTCTGCCTGACTCACCTGCGAAAATGTGGCGGGTGTCCCGAAATTAGGGATCCCCTTAAGGTTAGAGGGGTTTGAAGGTCTTATCTAGGGGTTCTATTACAGGGTTTTGGGTTTTGGCTTTCCCAGAATTGGGGGTACTTTTTTTGGGGGGTCTCCATGATAAGAACTATAGTGCAGCATATCGGGGTCTATATTGGGGTCCCCCTTTTTAGGGAAACTGCCGTGTAGGAGTCCTTGAAGTATTTGTTGATCTTGCTTCGGGCTCGTGCCTCGCTCAAGAGGCTTATGAGTTCATGGGCTTCGTGAGAACGATTCGTACGATGTGTTGCTTAAAGGTCGTGGGGGATGGCCTCAATGTACACCCCAATATACTATAGTAGTTTCCATTTTCCCCTATATAATCCGAATATCACCCCAATATAACCCCAATAAGCACAGGCTAGGCTGGGAACCGAGGCTTGCTTGTGGCTTGGCTTTGCTAATCAATAAAAATCTCAATATGGAAAACAAGCCCAGAAACTGCCAATCCGACTACGGGCGCTGAGGCAACAATTTCTCATGAAGTGTGCACCCCCAAACTCTGAACAATGCTCCCGCGCCCAAGCCAAGTGCTCTACTGCAGGTGCTGCAGTGTAAGGCTTCCTGACCGAGAATCGTTGGTAGGCCAAACTGAAGAGGCAAAGGCAACAGGGTACGAAACGTGTTTTTGGATGTTGACGACTGTTGAGCGCTTCTTAGGCCTTGCCATCAGTCTCCTCGCAAGCAATGTCCTCTTTGCGCTGCTGCTTCAGGGCTTGGTTCTCCTAGCGCCGCGGGACAATCGAAACATGTCCAGCACATTTCAAGTGCTTAGGTGGGAATGAAGCAATGAATCCCTATGGTAGTACTGGTATAGAATTACCCGCAACAGTCCTTACAATAATCCGTGGAACTTATTCCCCCACGAAGGCTTTCTGTGCAAGCCGCCGAATAATCGGAATGAAGCACGCCTGCTCCAAGACACAGAAGTGTAGCACGCTCAGTGTCCATCTGATTCAGGTACATTGCCAACCTAAAAGCCCCAGAAGTGGAACCTAAAGCCTGCCCCGACCTTGGGCTGTCCTAAAAAGAAACATGCAAGCCCACGATGTGAGAGTGATATTTCAAACCTGTGATTGGGGAACTATTCTTGGAATGAAGCCTCCCTACCAGATCGAAACCCAGAACTGCAGAACCCTAAATGGTGCAGGCAGCTCCTGGAGAAGCCTCTCAAACTCCCAGCTGAGGGAGTCCAAGTGCTTGCGGAAAGCGCTCCTTCAAGGGCAAGCTTTGGCAAGACCGAAAGACGCTTGAAAGAAAGGGAGGGGGCGGCTCTGTTTCATCAAAGGTTTGAAAAGAGAGCCGAACTAGGGCATCTGTTCCAGCTATTGCGCCAAGACCCTGCCTGGGATCACCAGCCGCTTCAGGCAGTTGGGGAAGAGGCATGAGCACAATTTGCCCACACTGGGCGAGATGACTGGAAAGTGGCTTGGGGTGCCGAGGACTTATCTGTGATCGGATAGCTAGGTCGTCCTGCATGCTTGTCGCGCGTCAGTTCACAACAAGGCTTGAGCCACAAAGCCAGCCCGCAGTTGGATCGTGGAACCTGGCGCTAGCTAGTCTCAGCAAGACACTACCGTCAATGGGAGAATGATATGATGCAGGTGATGGGTCAACAGGTGCAAATAACGCAACTCCCACCAAGCTGAGGAGGCTGCCGCCCACCCAGTGAAAGAGGCCGTCTTCGTAGACGAAGTCACGGCATGTTCTCCTTGCCTCTCCAAAACAAACATCAAGACTCGGCCACGCGGACTTGCACAAAAACAACAAACACGTGGAGAGTCCGATCTGCCTTGGCTGCACAAGACTGCCTAATCATCCAGCAACCTAATGACAGCAGACCAGAACTGGCTCAACTGGCAACTGGCCTCAAGGTCTACCAGTTCACGCACAGCACCTGAGATGAGACTGGACAGGAACCAATGCTTCCAGGAAATGGGCCTAGCCTGAAGCAGCCATGCAAACAGAAAACGGCTGCGCACTGCTAGGTCGCGTCTGGCTTCTGGGCAGTGATCCGCTTTCAAGTCCAACAGCAGCCAGAAAAAGGTCAAGAGGCGTCCGCAGGCGCGCAGTGTGTATCGATGCCTGAGGTCCTTGGGACGCGATGCGGCCCTACGCAAGATGTGCACGTTGGCAATCAGAGTCTAGTAATTTGGCCCGGGTTCAGGGAATGCAAAATATCGGAAGCTGTTCGGCATTGCCCGCCAGGTGACAAGCAGCGGCTGCAGTGCCCGGAGCACCGCATCTGGACGGCCAGCCGGAACTAGCATGGAACTGCCTTGGCCCGGTCTCCCAAAGTGCTAGGGGCATGAGCCTTCCAACTTCCAACACGTAGCATCATGAAGCCTCAGCTCCCTACCTGTCTCTGCGTTGATGGTGGCCGCCTGTGGACGTTTCTCGTTGCCCCCCCCAACGCATGCAAATGTTGCCCGCTGCTGCTGTCGATTCTTGTGCGGAGAACTGGCGAAAGGTACTATACCAGCGCTGCACCTGCTACAAGTACGACAAGAACTGCCTGAAGGATGGAGGCAGTGGAGAGAAGGACGGCGCTCGTCCTTGTCGTGGGTAGGGGTCATGGCAGAGGACGTGTTGCTTCTTGAGGTTTTACCCCATCGCTTTACAGGGTTTGGCTTTGGCATGCTTTGGTGGAAACAGTTGTTGGTTTGGGGTGTCACTTTTCCAGGCCCTCCTGCCCGCCCTGCGCACTGAAGCGCACATCTAATGGGCTGCTTCAATGCCGCTTTTCAGGGTAACCCATCGATACATAATCTCCTATGCGCAACGACTGCTCGAGTTATGCCCAGCCTCCTAACCACAAGGTCAGAGTCTCAGCGAACGGCAACAAGAAGCCAGGACCCAGACCTCGGGCGCTTGGCCAGAGCCAAATCGCCTCCATCATCCTGCGAGCAAGAATGGCATTTTAATTGCACCCAGAATGCATCTGAACTTCAATGGGATGTTCTCATGTCCGGCACCAACGGACGTATACCAGTTCCAGCAACTCGCTTCCTCATTGCATCTTCAAAACATGCTCACTAGTGCACTCACTCTTTACGCAAGGATAAGTCTACCATGAAGATTGCAAAGGGTCGCTCTAAGATTCTAAGTAGTCGCTCCGACTTACTCGGAGTTCGCTGGCGGTTGAATGCCACACGTGCACAAATGCTTGACAATGAAGGAACCCTGAATACCGCAAACCAATCCTATCTTTCACAGGGGCTTGATCTAAACTACCCCGACGGCTAGACACAACTCCATTGCGATGCTAGGCCCTGAACCCAGTGCAAGCTTTGCCTTTGCTAAACCCTAAACCCTAAACCCTATCCAAGGCATGGCCTCCAGAAACAGTGTCTTCTTCCGTGCTTAATGCTCACAAGCAGCATACATGTACCCCATCTTGGAAGCTGACCAACCACCTCCCATTCAACCCCACAGATTTCTTTTGCCACCCAAGCAACATCACCCTTGAGCAAAACAGCGTGCATGCACGTACTCAGAAGTACTTGCATCATCCCTTGTGAGTGCCCATGTAAACCCTAAAAAAGTGTTGAAACAACAGGACGTCACATTATCATTTCTCATCCTCATCCTTTCATACAACCAGCAGATCTTAAAACAGCCAATACCTCAACAACGCCTGCATTTCTCTACCTGAAAACTTCGTAATCCAGGCAGAAAGTCAACATCAGCATGTGGCTCGTGGTGTCTTTGTGGTCTTCGCAGATGGCCATCCCAGATTCATCCCAGGAAACACTCACCAATATCCCCAGCCACCTTTTAGCAATGAATGCACTTACCAAAACCTTTCCAGATGCAAAAATGCATCTCGCACATAGTCCTTACATGGGCTAGAGTCAATACTTCCCAGATTATTAATCCTTACTTGGACATATATATATATATACATACATATATTCGGGACTGTACTGATCTACCAAAGGAACCTCTAAGTCTACCCTTTATGATCTTGTTCAGCCGAATATTGAAAGTAGCTCGTTAAATCTCCTACAAAGTAAAGCACTATACAATCCCGGTTCCATTTGATGTTCCATCTTATGTTGTATTCTCTATTTTTTGGTGTAATATCTCTAAACCCTAAACCCTATACGCACTATATAACTCCTAGATCCCCGTCAAAAGGTGCCCCGAATTTTGGACATCCCTGTCTGAATCAGGTTAGAGGAGTGGCGGTCCTGGCTGCCTCTGCTGCGCTTTCCCTGAGGCGCGGGCGCAGGCACCGCGTGAGGTTTCTCAAAACTATGATTACTACTTGGAGGGTCAGGAGGACCTGGTAAGGAGCCATATAGTATCCCAAGCGATTCCTATCGGCTCTATAATTCATCTACTTTCTAAGTCCTCCTGACCCTCCAAGTATGGGTCCTTGTTAGGGCTCCCTACCTGAAGGATCTGAGGGTACAAGGAGCGGAGGGGGCCCATAGTTTGACAACTATGCATTTGGGCAGATGTCTAGGGGCGCAGGAAGGATCAGAAAAGCATCGTCTACGGATACCTGTGGCAGGATGCGATGTTTTCAGGATCCATTGTTCACGCTTCTGGAGGATCACACTACTTTGGCAAACATCCACGGAATCCCCATGAATCCCAGGAGGCCAGGAGTCCTTGGCATCTTTTCGCAGGGCAAATATATTGAAGCTCTGGAAGACAAGGACCCTATGAATCCGGATAACCTACAAGGTTCGACAAAGCTATATCATCCCAAGGAACTACTGGGTATGCTCCTCAGTCGTTTTGGTAATCCCCGCCGCTAACTTTCCCTACCCCTAGTCTTGAATATGCAACGACTAAGAATGACTTATATGCAAGTTGAGGGCACTTCCGAGTCTTGGGAATGGCTAGCGCTTCATCAGTACGGGAGGGGAGTACAAGTGGCAAGGCCTGCGCAGAAAGCGTGTCCATCAGCGGCACCACCTCTCCAACAAGAGTCAAGCCCTCTGCCTGGAAGATTGAATACTCCTAGTTGACTAGTGTAGTGGCTAGTTCCTGGAGTGCAAGGCCTGCTTTCGGCTGAAAGCAGGCCGACAGAAATCAGAATCGTCTGCGTCCTAAAACATGGACTTCTGTGATGGCCAGATCCGACCTCCCCGCGGATCACGGAGCGTGCCGCTTTCAGGAGATCTGGGCTTCCTGTCTTCAGCATGTACACGGCCTGAGGCCAGGGTGCTCGGAAACAAGCGATCGGCTCAAAGTGCGCAGGGTCAGTCTTCGTGCATTGCCAAGGCTTCAAGGCCCATCATAAGCAGCACGGTACGTAGCTAGGAAAACAGACTGAGTCAGCGGCTGATAGCAAGATTTGAGAGTTGATCGCACACACACTTGCGCTTGCACACCATGTGTTCGAACAATTCTCATCTCTCAACTCCAGCTGAAGCTGTCAGACACCCACCGTGCTTGTAATGCCCTCTGGCGGATAGTCTGCCCACATGGTGCTCGAACTGAAGTGTCACCCAGCGGAAGTCCTGGCCTGCCCTAGACCCCTGCAAGAAAGCGACATAGAATTTCAGACAGCTTGCATAGAGGGTTTCCCAAACTTGGGAGTACCTTCCTGAGGGTCCCTAGAAAAGGATAAAAGTGTTTTGGAGTCTATATTGGGATCCCCTGATTCAGGATTTTGTTTTGTTTCGTGGCAGGGCTGGGCTGGCTCCATTGGCTCGGCTTTTGTTTGGGTTGGTGTAGCTGTGGATAAAATGCCCAAACAAGAACCGCACAAAGACAGAGGAGGGTGTATATAGGGAATTATATAGGGGAGTATTATAGGGGTTATTAAGGGGGATACGAGAAAATTGGCCCCACTTGCTTAGAGCCAGAGCACAGGCCTCTGCAATTGCTAAGTCACTTGTTGCGCCTGCTTGGTGTCCTCATGTGTGAGGCCCAGGACGTCTCGAAGCTCCAGCGCAAGCTCCGCTTGAAGGCCTTGGCGAGTGCGAAAGACCAGCGTGACTGCTGACATGGAGCAGGACTCCTATCCATCTGAGCAACCATGTTTCAGTGCAGTTTGCTGCAGGGCAATGACTTTTTGACTTAGGGCAGGCCAAGTCGGAATCCTCGAGGAAGCTGCCAACCGCACTACCAGGGCGCGGGGCATGAGCATTCGCATGGCTTTACATGCAAGAGTGGCTGTTGACCGTCGTTGTGCACCATTAACATCCTTTAACCACTGCAGCAGCTAATTATGCACTTCGCAGTAGACATCGCTTACTGCAATGCGCAAGCCAAAAGCGTGGCACTCAAGATGGCCAGCACGGAGTCACCCGTAGCTCCATTGATCGAGGCACCTCCTGCTGCGGTCGTCGTGGTGGTTGCATTCGGGTCCGTGGTTGTCATGGTCGATGTCATAGTCGATGTCATGGTCGAAGTCACGTTCGTCTCATTTGCTTCCGCCAACCTGCGACCCTCGCATGCAATCTCATGACCGATGACCTCGTTGTCCTGGCCCCTCAAGCTGGCGGACGGGCAGGAGATCGACTCAAAATTGGGCTCGACTCCATCCATGAGGCATTTGACTCCCGCTGTCTGTCCTGCCCCAAGTGTCACCTCACCGTCGAAGTTCCACGCTGTGGGGTCAGCGGCTACACACTTCGGAGAACCGGCTTCGGCAGCCAAGGACATCCGCATGCACACCGCTGCATAGATGATGGCAAGAGTCTGCTTCATGGCTGGCGGGAGCTGATCAATGAATCAAATGCCGCAAGACTTCGGGTGCTGACTTGAGCAAACTGACAGGCGAGCTCTCTGCCTCTTGCTGGACTGTCGAGACCTATGGTCGACAGCTGCAAATGGCCTGTTAGAAGAAGAGCCCTTCCAAGGCTTGCAAAGACATCCTACGACAGGCACAGACTGGTGAGAACTGACTTCGTAGAAAGTACAAAAATTCAGGCAAGGGGCGCCAAAGCCTTCGAGCCTCAAACGAGGAAGCGACCACCTTCAACGCGCTTCTTCGCCAAACGCTTGGAGGGGATTTACGAAAGTAGCCCTGGGCTTTAATATCTCCTGGCTGCACCCCAGATCACCAGCGCCGCAAACATTTTGGGAGTGGTGTGAATTGACTTTGAACAGGATTTTGTGCCCTTTGCTGTGAGCGCTGCTGGTGCAGTGAAACTGGTTCTTGCTACTGGCTTAGCCGAGCTAACATGCTCTCTGTTGCCATAGGTCGTGCTGTCTTGAGCTCTTGTGAGCTCTTACATGGGATGAGTGTTGAACCTCAGACTTCCTTGTCGAGCGGGCCCTTCAAAGGATACCCTATTGCTTGGAATCTCCCATTTGAACTTCAATCTAAACTCCTAGCATCCCCCTTAATGACCCCCATACTAGTCCCCTGTAGAATCCCTGTATAATCCCCCTCAAGGAGTTCAGACTATAGCTTGTTTTGTGCCTCGAGTTCCGGACTTGAGATGCAGCCAGGTCACTGGGTCAACAGTGCGCCGGGCACTGCTGCTAGCCTGCTGCTGCTGTTGCTGCTGCTGCGGGCCTCCACTCACGAGCGCTTGCTCAGGAAAGGGGGCTTGTCTTCTAGGCCTAGGCCCCATGAAGTTTGCGTTGATAAAGGGGCTAAAGGGGCCCTGCCTCGCTCAGTTTGGTGCCGCATGCTGAGCTCGCTGTGCCTCGGGTGGGCCCAGCTCCAACACTGCGGATGGATCCCTCTCAACGAAAAGACCGATGCAAAGCAAGCAACACAGCGTGGAGAAGCCGCCGCTCCAGAAGTTGGCGGTCGAATTTCTCCTGTGCACATCTACAGCTCAGCCTGCACACTGCCTGGACTCCAGGGTCAGCCTTTGGCTCACAAAGGGGCCAAGAAGACCATGACAGAATTAGCATTTTGTACTGTCACCATCTTTGCTTCAAATCATGCACTGGATTGGTGCTGCAGGTATCGTACATCTATATGAGCCGTAGTCTAAACTCCTAGCATCCCGCTCAGTAACCCCTATAATATCCCCCTTTAAGGAGGTTGAACTGTAGCTCATAGGGTATCAGTAGCTTAGACTTCTGGTGGCCCTTGACGGTCCTTGTTCACAGCTGAGGCCGAGGTCTGGCAGGGCACGCGAAATAGCCGCAAAATGCCGCAAATAAGGCTATACAGACTTCAGCCACTGCCTAGACCTCGTGCACAAATCCAAGTCGTGGTAGTTTTGATGAAGCTACAGAAGAAAGGCTTTGGGCCCGTTCTGCCAGGATTCCCATGTCATTACAGCATGACTTTGAAGCTCAGCAGTTGCTGGCCACGGCCTGCTTCAGCTTGCCGATCAACTCCTTCTTCTTCTTTTCGGGTGTGTAGTTCCCTCGCACCCTCAGCTTCATGCAGCTAATCAAGTCCGAGCTCCTGGATCCCTCTTGGGTTCCATGGGTGGTATCTGGCAGGGCCATTATAAAATGTTCCACATCCAAGGCCGCTTGTCTGAGGCGGCACTTGCCAGGCCTTCCCTGCAAGGATGCCTGAACTTGTGTTGTTCAGACCGCGCTTCCCGGCCAAAGCTTCTTCACTACTACTTCTAGCATTCATCTCTTACTTAGCGGGTGAGTCCCTTTCCCTTTCCCTTTCCAACTACAAGGCATTACGTGTTGAATTTTGCAAGGTCCCCCACAAAATCCTCCGCAAGTGCAATCCCCCTATCGTGTCATCGCCTCTCTGTGGCCGCTTGGCCTGATGGCCCACCCCAAACCCCTTGTTCAGGCCCTAAACCCTGCCCACACTGACACTCTACAACCCTGCTCAATCAGAGGCTAACCCTCAGAACCTGAAATCTATTCGCACCATGGGAGCTTTCTCAAAATGGCTGGGTAACAACTATCAGAAAAGTACCAGGGTCCCGTTGAAAGTATGTACGGGGCTTGACGATCCCCATAAGATCCCCAATATACTGTAGTGATTTCTGTTTTCTTTTCCATTATGTATTCCCTACATATAACCCAATATTTACCCGAAGTTCTATCCCAACTCATCCGAGTCAGCGGCTTGTCGAGGACAGACCTAGCCTGAACCTGCACAGCAAGTGAACAACGGAAGACCGCGTATGATTTGTACAAAATGACATGTTGCACTATGAAGAAGATGGCGCGATCTACTGTGATTGCTGCTACACTAGCCCAAGAAAGATTTCTCAGTTGCAATGGCGTTAAAACATTGCTGAGGAAAAAAGGGATATCAACAGACATGGGAACGGAAAGACTTGCGAAATGACTGACACATCCATAGGCCATGACAAATCCTACACTGGTTCAACTTGCAAAGAGTGAAGCCAAAGAATGGGAAGAAACAACAGCAAAATGTAGGGAATGCTTACGTGAGCGGAGGAGCGGACGAAAATTGTAAGGGCGAATGTGTTAAAGTTGATTCGTGCAATAATAGCGATAGAAAAAATAAAACCACACATACAAAAAAGCGAGAAGGAAAACAAATCCACGAAATGATGGCGTCATGAAATCACGTGAGAACAATATCAGGATGAAAATGAATGACATGCTTTCAGCACAACGCAGCGCAACGCAGCACGACGTCTACGGAGAGCTACACTGAGAAAAAGATGTAACAGGCAGGACGACGACAGGAATGGCGGAAACACATGCTATCAGGAGAGCCTCCATGCGCATGTGGCACATGTTGTGCATCTGGGCGTAAAACACGACATCAAAAAGGACAAACTAAATAAGCGCAATCTTGTTCATGATAAAGAGACATGATATGTATAAGACATACTTTGATCTAGACAGCTTTGGCTCAAAAAACGCACTCTAAAGCCCAAAAAGACAAGAAGATCGTATCAATAGTTGAAGATAAAAAAACAAGTGTCTTCGGAAAACTGTAGAGAAGAGGAAACCTGGAGGGCAGAAGTCGTTTGTGGCTCCGTTTTCGTACTTCATCCATGATACACCAAATCAAAAATGTAGCTTGTGGACAACATGCAAAATTGTGTTTGAAAAATCAACGCTGTGCCCATCGATCAACCAATCAAGCAATCAACCTAATTAACAACATGAACGGCAAACCCAACATCATGTATGTTGATGACGGGAGCTTCAACAATTAGACCATTATTCGTCATTTGAAGGAGAAGTTGAAGTTGCAAGGGATTCCGGGCCACCAGCATTCCACAAGAAGCTTAAAGGTAGTTAGCGAGCTGAAAATGAGCAGGAGAAGGGTAATCAGAACTTTCAATCAAATGCTTTCCAAGAGGGTTATTACTTACTACTCATTCAACGTACAGAGTAGGGCTCACAAAAGCTCGCAGCAGTAAAAACTAACAAGCTGTAACCGAATGCCAAGCTGATGCCACAGAGAATGGTTTATCCGTAGACCTTGGCAAAACCGTCAAAATGCGGCAAGAAATCTAATGAAAAAGGAAAGTGTGGGAAGCCATAATTTGACCGTTTGGATAAAGAATTTCCCTTCTCCACGTCAAAGCTCTCTTTTGGCACATGGCTTTTCGTGGTTTGTTTAACAACTCTTCCCTAAAAAGGTGGCATGCTACATCACAACCCTAAATCACCCAAATACCCTGGGGGTGAGGGACAGTATCCACCATGATCCACCTTAGCTAATGGGCGTGGCTTGTCCTCTTGCCCTGGCTGCATAGCTACCCTAAATGGACATATAGGGCTACATAGGGCATATGGGGACATAGTGGGATAATGGAATAGAAACTGGAAAGTACAATTTAAGGTTTAGGTTTAGGGTTTAATGCATACTGCACAGAGAGCTGTGGGCTCAAGCTGGCCTAGGGCCCTCAAGCAACGCGAGAGCCCTAGAAAACAATATCTTCTTATGGCTCCTAATCAAGTTGTGCAGGAAATCCCGGTAGCCTCTGCATAACTCGGGTGCCCAACAATTCACAGTAGAAAGGGCCAGTCAAGGCCTCTTAATAGCAGAAGGGAGACCACATACACTGCACCTGTTTTCGCCATTCTTGCGGGAGACCCCGGGAGCGGTGAAACACCCAATTCCTTGAGATGAGTCATTGAGCGTAGGCAGTACTTGCCGGAAATTGTCGCAACAGGGCTAGCAGCAGCGAACAGTAGCAGTGGCATCAGCAAAAAAGAAGCAGTCTTGCTAGACTGGCTTGGCTTCGACAAAAGCCTTACACTGATAAGCAGCTTTCTGAGCGCATTCGGGGCCAGCCCTGATACTTAGACTTCCTGTAGAGTAAAACATCCTTGAAGGTAATCGTCACCACGGGTGATATTGTCACTGATAAGCACGCACCGCACGATTTAAGAGATGCTTGGCCCCTGCCACGCCAAGCCATCCTTCCTATAGCGCAAATCTGCAGATTCTCTGCAGGAGGTTGCTTGCTCTACACAAAGGTTGGCGCATCGTTGGTCCTGTACGGCCTTGGCCATTCAACTAGCCAGTCGCCATCGTATTTCCATCCTGCAAGGTCTGAGCCCCCGTTAATGTCCACAATGGTACTATTCAGAGCAGTAATAACAAAACATCTTGGTACTATTGAGAATACTAACGGGAAAAGAGATGGTAACCATGGTAAAACATGAAAAAAAGTAACACTGATAGTGATTGTTTATGGAGCCTTGCTACCGACAGGCGTTGCCTGGGCGGATGACTCGCAGGATCTGATCAACCTCAATGACGCCGTTCCTCAGCCGGGGTATCGAGCAGACACCAGCCCCGCAAATCTTTCACACTTTACTTGCCTCCACTTCGGATCCTGTTCCATGAAACATGCTGAAGGAGTCACTCACGCGAATTTTACTGCTGCGAATCGAACATTCGTGTGCGGCAGTTGTAGAAATGCCCCCCACAAGGCTAGCTGTGGCCGCACTGTACATGTCCGAAAAAGACGGTGCCTGGCGAAACCGCTGTGCGAGTGAAATCATTATTTGCCCGCTTGCAGCTTGTCGTACTTCTCAGCCTTTTCAACTACGGATTTGGCACCGACGTAGGCGGTGACGGAGAGGATGACAACCATCACCGAGAGGAACGTGGGGATCTCGAACTGGTCATCAAACATTGGCAGCGCGACCTGGGCCGCGTAGATGACAAGCACGGCGCAGGCCTCGCCGATGTTCTTGAGGACGGAGTCCAGAATTGCCAGCAGGTAGAAGGTGCTCCATCCCTTGCAAGTCATGTTTGGAGTTTGGAGGTACTGCTGCACATGACACTTCCTTGTGATAAGAGCTTGCAAACATGGTCTGGCAACCTTGTGTTGCTCCAGCCTTGATGGTGAAGGAGGCGAGGACACCGCACACGGTGCCATCCCAGCCGCTGAAGAAGCCGTTCTGCCAAGTGTGTCCATCGAGGAAAGAGATCACGAGGATAGTCGCGAACCAGGCACATTTGAACTGCACTAGCTGCATGTAGATGGGCTCGCTCTTGAAATCTTTCATGTACTTGTCGGACAGCACGCCACAGAGGCAAGAGACTGAGACCTTCAGGAGGACGTTGACGACTCCCATGATTGGGATGCCTCCACCGTTGCTGTCGCTCTTGCCTGCACACCGAAAGGCTCATTTAGCACGAAGCCAGACGGGCTCCATCGAAACTCTGCCCTCTTAAGCAGCCCAAACCAACAGGACTTTCCTCTCAGCACAAAGAAAAGCATGCTTCAAACTTGAGACAGCTCAACAAAGCCTACCCAAGCTGGAACCCCCTCCAAGTTTTGAGACTGTGTGCCTCCCAGCATGTAGACGCACATCGAGAACATGACCAGCACCAAGATGTTCCACTGAAGTGCTGTCTGCCTTGTTCCCTGCCAAGTAAACAGGCTGGGGTGCAGTTCTCAAAGCTAACTTGCCAAAATTGCGTGGATTTATCAGGTGGTTTAATCTGGCTCTGCTTTACTAGATGAACATCACATATGCAAAGCGATGGCTCTCAAAAGAAAGGAACCACAAGTCTGTGAGACACCTCTTTCTGTGGGTTGCTGGCCTTGATGCCCCAAAGCATGAGCGCCGTAATGATCAGCTTGGACTGCAGAAGGATCTGGTAGGCTGCACCTCCCAAGGAGCCCATGCCTCGGATCCGTTGCGCAGGGCTGCCTTTTAAAGGGGATACAGTGGTTACATAGGGACTATTTACATTAGGGTTGAGAGGGCTAGACTTGTTTCAAAACTGTTGCTTCAAATCGGGACCCTGGTTAACACCCTGCTTGCGACGGTGTAATTTTATCTTCCATCGCCTCGCAGGGCCGCAGCGTGGGCAAGGCCACGCCGAACTACAATCAGACTCAAATCCAGGAATCCTAGCTGGCTCCTCTTCTTGAATCTGTGCAGTGAAACTTGCTGCCTCAAGGTCTGTCAGAAACATTGCCTCCAAGGGACTGGCCATCTCCAGGTAGTCTCCCAGGGCGTACATGAAGCCAATCAGGGAGAACACTTTCATCGGAGTGGGGCTCCAAATCTTCCTTTCGAGGTTAAAGCATCTTAAAGCTAAAAGGCTAAAGCCAGAAGCATGAACAAAGTCCATGTGCTTCCTCCAACCTTATGGCTATGCACATGCTTTGCTCCAAGGCTCCTCCACTCGTCCATGCCGCCGATGAACAGGCACATGAGCTGAGCCACGGTGATGGTCACGACCGTCTCGCCGAGAACCACTGTCATGTTGCCATACGCAAAGAACTTCTTGCCTGCACAGGGGGAAGCACATAGAAGCCTCTCTGAATGGGTTACATGCGGAATTGCGCGGTATGCACATCCCCATTTATCTGGCGAAAATCTCGCACCAGGCAGATTTCCAAATCTGTGCTTCATGCCGACCGCACCTGTTTCCGGATCCACACTCTTGGAGGCATCAATGATGGTCGGGTGCACGGCACGGGTGATAACAAAGAAGCCCTCACCAGCAGCTAATTACTGCCGCGTTGGCTGCTTAGGATTCTTGAGCTGCAGCATCAAAAGGGGACTTTTCTGAAATAGTGCTGAGCCCCAGATACCCATGATATCTGAAGATGCGCATGTAGACACCCCGTACAGTTGGAGAACAAGCCCCCCCGATTGCATCCTAAAGAGGCAAGCGACAAACAGCAAGATCTTGGCCATGCCGGACATCTCTGCCGGCTTCGACGCATCCTTGAACTCCTGGCAGCAGCATCGCTTTGCCGTAGCTACTGCAAAATCATTGGTTTTTCATTTTTAAGTCTGACCGCGACCTTATGTTTCAACAGTACCATATGCATACAGGTTGTTTTTTATGGGTACCTCATATGCTTACATAGCAGTCCTGGCCCGTGTAGGGCACAGCAGCAGGTTTCGGCGCCATGGCGTCTCTCAGCCTTCTCCTCTATCACTTTCAGGGAGGGCCGCTGTGACGTCACTGCGGCAAAGGACAAGCAAGGTGCAGAGGTGACACATGGTTGCACCAGGTATGCCTCCAAGTAAAAAAGCAAGCTCTTCTCATTTGACTGACATGAGTTTTCATGACGCTTGCTGTACGTGAGCGGTGCTCAGTTGCGAAGCATACCAAGGGGCTCGTGTCACATCCTGAAATTGCCCCTGATGCGGCCCAAGGTCTGGTTCACATCCATGGCATGAAAAAGAGCAAGCGCGCGTCTTGCAGGGATCTGGAGATGCAGCTCCTGCATTCCATCATGCCAGCCCTAGACCCGTTATGCAAATTGCAGGCTGCCGTGACACGAGTCTGAACCCAGCCCCTCCTGGATCATCCTCGCAAAGCCTTCCAGGGTTATCTGCCCAGAGCCACCGGAGTCGAAGTCTCGAATGATCTGCGGGTGTGTATATGAACCACTGTCTAAACTCCTAGTATCCCCCTTCATACCCCAATAATAGTCCCCTATATAATCCCCTATATAACCCCCTTTAAGGAGTTTAGACTATGGCTCATTTGGGTTGTAAGTTTAAGCCTCTTCCAAAGTTGCCATGTGGCAGTAAGCTGTGGCAAGGACCAGCATGGGCGTGGTGGCTTACCAGGCTAGTGCACATGAACAATTGGAGAATGCTCCGCAGACCTTTTCCAAGTCCAGAGCGTTGAAGCCCCACTCGTACAGGTGCCGCCTTGTTCGCCACCTGCAACCAGTGCTTCTTGGCCAGAGTACTAAGCCATGACTCCTTTGCTAAACCCGAAACCCCACTTTCCAGCATCTGTAGGCAAGGTTGGCTGCTTCAGATCCTGCTTCTGGCAGTCAGAATGAGCGGCGGATCAGGTTTCAGTCTGCATGCTTTGGCGTAGCTCCCCTTGCCATGCCTCAAGATGATGTAGTCGCGATCCTGGAAGAAGAACCAGATCTCAAGTGCGCTTGATATGACCGGGCCTCCCTGATATATATAGATATATATATATATAGTTTACATAGGGATAGGGTTTACACAGTGGCAATATGGGGACATAGGGGTTATATCCGGGTACTATGACTATGGGGGTTATTTCTCTGAAGCTGCATTGAAGGTCTTGAACTCTCACGCAAACTTCTTGGGGTGGCCATTGCACAATGCACCGCGCTCCTGCCACCGAACCGCCAAGCGATGGCCCGCAAAGCCCACTGGGATTGCCATGTAAAGGACGCCTTGGACTCAGCTCACTGCCTGAACCTTCAACCCTAAATAGTAGCTTCCATCTCATTTTCCATCATCCCGAGATAACCCCAGGAAATATTACCTCAGGTTCCATTTCATTTTCCATTATCCCTATACAGCCCCTATTTCCCCGCCATGTATTCCCTTAACCCTCATCTTGGGCCGCCTCAACGCCCGGGAGCTCTCTGGCTTGCTGGAATTACAAGGTGGGGTTAAATAGGGGGTTATATTGGGCTAATGGAAACTAAAATGGAGACTACTGTATGAAAATGGGTATGTGTTGGGGCTATAGGGTATATGTTGGTCAGTCAGTCAGTCAGTCACTCAAGTCCAAGTCCGGACGCGTGCTAGCCGCAAAGGCTATCTCAAAAACATGCGTTAATTTGAATTCATGAAGCAGTGTTGGGGTTTAGGGTTGAAGGTTTAGGGCTTCAAAATACAGGCCACCACCATCATCCCGCCCCCACCTATAGAGCCTGCCACATACGCACCCCCAGGATTTGCAGTTGCTGTGCCTCACGCTCCATCTGGAGGCTGGAATCACTTCCCATGTTCTTTTCCATTATCCCAATACTACCCCAATTTACTATAGTAGTTTCCATTTTCTCTTCCATTACCCCAGTATAACCCAATATACTACCTAGACCTAAACCCTAAACCCTAAACTACGATTCTTGAGTTGGTGGATTGCGGGTAGGATCCATCTGAGAAAGACTGACACTCGATTCCATTCTCTTGTTCCTTCCTCGAAGCGAGGTCCGCAATGCGGTTTCATTCTTCTGGAACCAGGTAGATGCTGACGGTTGGTGGCTGATAGCTGATAGCACGTCTGATGCCTTATGCGACAGATCTCACAGACCCCAAAGGCCGAACGCATCACGAATCCGTTCTGCCAATTGTAGTAAACCAGCCGTTCCGTGTGAACCAAGAACCGGCCCAAGGCCTGGGCCCGGGTGATTATGACGCTGCCATGACATCTTTAGGGGAGCTCAGGTTCTGTTTGCCTGGCTGGGCCTCGGGCAGGGAAGTCTCTTCTTTGCGAGCTCTGGAGGATGTCGAGGTTTTGCCAAGATGCTGAAGCCGGCAGCCAAGGTGGTTGTCACGGTTGCAACCGTGGACGCAGAGGTGGAGGTGCCAGACCACCTCTAGCGCTACCAAACAGACATCTGAAAGTGTTCCCCATGGCGAGCCTGTGCTTGCGTGAGAAGGTGACTCTCAGCGCCTAGTGATGCTTTCTCTGAGCCTCGCACCCAACCTTGGATGCGCAGGTTCCGATGCGGAATGCAGTATTAAAGAGCTGTGTTCCTGGAGCTGATAGTCTCTGGCTGCAGTGAAGATGCGGTGGAAACTGCAAAGTACATCAAGCTCAAAGCTTGCCTTTGATGTGGGCTTCACAGCAACAAACCCAAAAAACACATGGACAAAATCTACCTGGCATCTCAGGCAAGCCAGGCTAGCCAGAAGCTGCTAATGTTCAGTGAGGGGCGGAAGTGTTTCGACAACTGCCGGCTCGGAGAGGTAAGTAGCTGTCGCAAGGGCCAAGATTCCCACAGCAGCAATCCTTACAAGTGCCCATGTCATGTCTTGGTTATGCCACAACTTTGTGGTGGACCAACTTCAGTCTGATTCCCTCCAACGGAACTACACCAACTGCATCCAGTCTCGCAAACCAGGCATAGAGTACGTCTCGGATCTCCTTGGACACAGGACATGCAAGCCAAGTACATTGTTCAGATACTTTACGGGGATCTGAAAGAAGGGGGGCGAGGAGCAGTTTTGCAGAATCCGTTTCAAAATCTGCGATCAAATGTCACGACCCTCTTTAGCAAGGGCCTCGTGTATGAGCCCACATCACACAAACCACCCAGGCTGACCCGATCTCATCCCACCCAAGCCAGCTCAAGCTTCATGACATCAACAACATCTGTGGGTTTCCCAAGATTAAGGGTATCTTTGAAATAGGGTTGAGGGTTCCCAAGATTAGGAGTACCTTTGTGATCTTTTTGGGAGTCCCTATTTTGAGGCCTACATTGGAAACTACCATTTACAGTACTTGCACTTGCTTGAAGATCTTGAAAATTGTGAGTATCCCGGGTGACTAGTAGATGCGTGGGGGATCAAGAACCTTGATGGATAATGATCATGATAGTTTTGTCTCAGTCTTGCTGCCAAGATGCAAACAGAGCCAGGAAGACGAGACGCAACCTCACTTACTTGCTGTTTTCCATACGATAGGTGCAAAACATCTATATTTGATGAGATGTTGCACATGTATCATCCACCACCACCACCACCGCCGCCGCCGCCGCCGCCGCAGCCGCCGCCGCCACTACCACCACCACTCGTATAATCATAGGACAGAGTGCTGTTCTGATGAAGCCCGCAAGTTCCAATCCGACATGATGCTGGCTGCCAAGCTGCTCATCACAGCAACGGAACCTGACACCGCGACGGGATGCAAATGTTTGCCATGTTCCATGGTACCCGCATGGGCACCCACTGTAGCCATCAAAACTTAGCGGATTGCTGCTGCCGGGGTGCAACTTTATCAGCTTCACCAGTGGCAGAAAGCACAGCTTCACCAGCATGAGCTCTTCGCTGGCTTGGTGCGCCTGCAGATAGCCCACAAGCCAACGCTGGATAAGCTGGCGGTTGCAGGCTTCCTGCCGCAGAGATCGTGTCAGCAGCAAAAAACACTTATGCGTCGCCTCGCTGCTGAGGACGATTATATTCAACCTGGGTAGCCAAGGGGCGCAAAGCATGTCCCACCTACTGCAGCCTGCGTTCTGATATGTTGCTGAAATTGCTTGCTGCACTGTGCAAGCACTTCCCAGCTGGCTGCTGCTGAGCAGCACGAGGGGAGTTAACGCCACAATGTCAATGATGTTGTACTGCCCTCCTCATGTCTCACCAAACTTGAGACTTGAGACATTGAGCCCATACTATACCCGGCTGTTTGCAGGGAAAACCAAGACAAGTGACGAAGGAAGCGCCATGTACTCCAGCTCATCTTGTATCTAAGCACAACATCCAAGAGGAACATAAGGTCGAGCACCAGCTGGACCACAAGCACTTGCCTGGGTCTGGAGGAACTATGCTTTGCGCCGTCACTTCTCTCCTCCATGTGATCTGATGGTGCAAGTTGAGTGGCGGTATGAAGGCCGGCGCTTTGTGGGATGATTCCATCAACATGCATGCCACAGATATCCTGGGCGCAGCAACATGAAAGACATGCAAGCTTCATGTCCAGTCTGAAAAAACGCTGGCCCGCGCAGCTTGCATGAGGCAGTGGTTTTGCAGATATATTCCAGCCCTGAGCTGTTGTGCCCATGCAGTGTCAAGGCTCAATACCAGGGGCGGGTAGAGCCGCGCGTACCAGCGCGCGGCCTGACGTGTTGTACCCGGTTGACGTGGCTCAGGAGCTGGCCAGCCATGTTGGAGGATATTATGAATGTATGGCATTGCTTGTAGATTGTAGATCAGTCAACACTGTCAACTTCACCCTTGGCGGCCTGGCTGCTCGTGGGATCTTCAAAAAAGTTCCACAACGCCTCAGTGCAGGAGAATCATACTTGCAAGCTGCATCATACATGCTCCATCCTGCCTCTTGGATCGGAGTGCTGATGCGCCTGCCGCAGAATGCCCAAATGGTAACTCAACATGGCACAACTGTGTACGTATACTTGCTTATGCACCCACATGCACACACCATAGATAGACCAGATAGAG